CTAACGCTAGTTTCATCGGCTGAAGCTGCCATGTTCTTTAGACTGAACTGTCACGCATCTCTGTGTCACACCTCAACCCGCCTCAAAGCCAACGCGAATTAGACGTTCGTTTGGTAAACGGCTCCAAATTTTCTTTAACGGAGAGTAGCTAGACTGATCTGCGAGTGAAATCTTGAAAGCTGGCGAGATCAGGATGGTCTCACGATGCTATAGAAAGGGTGGAAGATGACTGAAAATCAATGAAAATCAATGGAATGTGTATGTCTTGGAGGTCTGCTCAGAGTAAATGGGCTTTAAAAAAAACTGTAGAAATCTATCTCTACAGAACTGTAACTTTACATGTGTTTTGTGTTTTCGAATGGACTTTTGCGAGCTTTCTTTCAGCTGTTTTTCAAGCCTGTCACTTTTTCACAAACACCAACGATTTGTTTAGTGAAAATAATAGTTGTCCCCTCAACACATTTTCCTTCTTGGGCTGTTGATTAAGTTTTTACTGAAATAATTGACAACAATAGAATGACCTTAAACGCACCATTAAGTTTGACTTTTTCCTAATTTAGCTCTCTTGTCATTAGTCTTTTTCTTGAGTGTCTTCAGATTCGGTGCAGAAGATCCTTCCTGCCCACACCTATCAACACCTACAGCTTATTGAGAAAAAGCCCATGAGTTATTATAAGATCTAATTTCCCTTTGAGACCAATAAAGTATTTTTGAATTAAGTGAAATGTTCTGACTGGACATCACCATTAAAACCTGTAGAGACGATTGAAGACCAAAAAAAGATTTTGGTAATCATTGCAGATCATATTCTGTACTCACCACACTGATTAGCTGTGACAGAGAGACCTGTAGGGAGATGGTGACCTGTTGGGTTTTATTTACTGCTGGTCTGATCAGCTTGTTATAGCGTTCTGGTCCCAGCAGGTAGTTTACTAGACGTTCCTCTGCATTCTCTGCTCTGCTGTCTACAAACAGAAAAGTATTAACTGTAAATATAGTCAACATAGTGTTTATAACTTCGTATTTCTGTCAGTCAGTCTCTAGAAGACACAGACACATGCTAATGTGACAACAATACATAAGTTAGTCAACAACCATCATAATTAAATAAGAAGTGATTGTTAACAAAATTCAGAAATAACACTTACATCTAAACATATAAATGTTTCAATATGTTGTCTATGACCATAGAGTAATTAAAGCTACACATGTTTTATTTTGCTTTGTGAGTGTGATTGGATGAGCATTGTTCAGACCTCCAGAAAAAAGCAAACAGAAATTCAGTCATGCATGTGAGACACCCCCTTGAAGCTTTTTGTTTGCACCACAGCTAAACGCCATTGGTTATGTAAAAGGAGAGCTGAGACTAACTTGGAGGCATTATTTTTTTTCTTTTGACATTTGCGTCATTGTGCCCATATTGCCAAGCACACTTACTAAAGAAAAATGAGCATTTAATATCTAAATTTCTTTGCTTCATTTTGCCGTATGAACTGCTCTCCTTTCTCAGTAGATTGCATGCAGCAGGGACAGATGTTCTTGTTACAGATGCACCCTGCTGTTTTAACTTTTACGCCAGAGTAGGTGTCATTTTTTTCACTTCAAATGGGACAATTTATTTCCACCGAAAGGGACAGTTTGTTGTTATTGGTGCTGCTTGCACAAATTGGGTTAAGCAGAAGTATGGCTTGAATAGATCTTTTTAGTGAACTAAAATACTGCTGCAAAAGGGGTGACTTACTCCCCATTCCTTTACATTTTGCTTGCAGGACAAGACGCTTCCTTGAAATGTTTCAATGTTTCTTTTGCAACATTTTTTGTCCCCAGTTCTTTGTCTGAATAGATGACAATGAAGCACTTTGGCAACAAGGCTGTGATTCCAACAAGTTTTTAGCTGACTTTTATACATCTAGTCATAAAAAGCGAAAAACTTCTCTTATGTATTTAAGACTGCATGTATAAAAAAAAACATGGCAACTTGATATAAATCAAAATGATAAATAGCCTGTATAGCACCTGCATTACACTACATTCAGCCACCTACAGACACATTCAAACACTGATTGTTGCAAGCTACATTCTAGCCACAGCTGCCAAAGAACTCACTGACAATAACAACACAATACATGGGCGGCACCAGTTCTCTCTGACCACCATCAGTAGGCAATGCAGACAAACTGTTTGTCCAGGAACAGAAATATTTTATTCTTGATTCTTAATTTACCTTTCCATTCTGATTTTACTATTGGGTTATTACTATGTAATGTGGGCAGTGCCTGAACTATTCTGCATACAGCATTTTAGACCTGTGGGTGTTTAAAATCCTCAATGGATAAAGCTGCTATGGAATGCTACCATAATATCATTGTACAAATGCTCCATCCAAGATTAAGGGTTGGCGAATCAAACATAATTATGATTAGATCACTGCTAAAGAAAATACATGTTTAAAAAATATTAAATAACATCTAAACAATCTAATTAAATACTTAAATATTCTTTCTGATAAGAAATGACTAGAATTGAGCTCTATAAATGTCATCACATAGCCCTTATTTGGAAAAAGGAGCAGAACTTAACATAAGCCAAAAGAGCTTTACTAAGAGTGACATTTGGAGATTAGACAGCAAATGTATGATTTAGTTTTTCTAGTAGTTTTTTCTATCATACAGAGCTGAACAACTTCTGAATTTAAAGGAAGGACAACTTTAACAGGGAAATTCTCAATTTAAAAGTAAATCAATGGAAAATGATTTTTTAAGTAACCCCAAAGAAAAAGCTAATGAGAGCTGAAAATATGTCCCATTCTGTCTCTTAATTAGAATTCCATGTTCTATCTATGGCTCAAATTCTATAGAAATAAGTAAGATTAGTGTGAAGAGACCCCAAAACCATTCTAGATTTAGAGGTTTCCTGTCAAGGTACAATCAAAATGGACACCTTATTATCTGTACATTTGATTTATTGAAGTTGTTATTATCATTGAACAATCCATTACAATGTATTGGAAGCTCACACCAATCTGTAGCCTCAAAATATTGGTGAGCCAAATGTCATTTCACAACACTAATCCAGCACACTCTTCTTAACAATCCAGCAAGCAAATACAACCTCGACAATAGACCCACCTTCAGCCCCTCGACTTCTGGACATAGACAGTGGAAAATGACCGGGGCTATAGAGATAAATACTTGATCTCTATTACTGATATTTCTTTATCTGACCACTTTTCTGTTATATTGAAAGCACCATTTTCAATGGCTCAGTAAGCCAAAGAGGCATCATTGTATCTTTGAGGATGGTGCTACTAGAACCTCCAACCAGATTTACTTTTCTACCACCACTTTGCCCTGTTACCCTGTGAGCTAGTAGAAAACTTTAATTCTAAAGTTTTAGAAATCACTGCTTCAATTGCTCCTATGAAAGTAAATGTCAAAAATAGCCTGTCAGTGGAGGGATCTGAATGACAGAAATAACATTGAAACCTATTCTAAAAGGGAAAGTAAAGATTCTAAAATGAGATTTGTGGATTTTCCTATTGGTGTTTATTTAAAGTCCCTCAACAGAGTTTTGGATGTATTAAAAATAATTTTGCACCAGGCGGTTGAACAGATTGTTACAAAAGTTCAATTCATTCATCTATCATATTCAACTGATTTCAGGGTATTTTTATAGTTCCAGTTTACAACTCATGTCTTAAGGAATTTTACAGAGACAATTTCAAGTTCAATGAGATCATGCTGTCAGAATGGTAATAAAGGTGAAAAACGGAGTGTTAAAAACTAAACACAGGTGAGGAAAGACTAGAGACCAGGTTTGCGATGATATCTATATAAAGAGACTTCACAGATCTAACAACTGGAAAATAATATATATCTTTATTCTTTGAGATTGTCAGCAAAAACATGAATATTGCTTGCACCTCATTTGCTACAGTCAACACACTAGCAAACCCTCCAGTGACTATGCTATTTGAACTCCACCTTACCAAAGTCTGCATCAAATTTCCGAACGTCTTTACTGAAAAAATGATAAGAATGGCAGTTGTCTCCAAATATTACTGATTTTGACAACATTTCTCAAATTCAAATAATTAAGTACAAAAACTTAGAGGAGATAATACACCAATTGGGCTCTTCTTTCACCTGTCTTGATGTTTTAAAGGTTATCTTAAGAAAGTTGTGCCTGTCATAACATCTAAATTAACTCAAATAATAAATATGTTTCTTTCTTTCAGTGTTTTCTCTCAGGCAATCATTGAACCGCTGTTGAAAAAGAGCAACCTGGTCAAGTTGCTACTGTAGAACTACAGAACCATCTCAAACCTTCCCTTCATTAGTAAGATTATTGAAAGGTTGTTTCAACAATTCAACAGCTTCCAAACAATGAACAGCCTCTTTTGATGTCTTCTAGTCAGGCATCAGTACCAACCACAGCACTGACACTGGCTTTATAAATGCAGATCATAGAGGGAACACACTGCTGGTATTATTGGATCTTAGTGTATTATTCAACACCGATCACTTTATTTTATTAGAGCACCTGAAAAACTGGGTCGCCTATATAGTATAGAACTGCACTGGTTTAGATCCTAGTCAAAAGACAGCACCTTTTTTTGGGTCAGTAGGTAACTTTGCATCATAGATAACATAAATCCCATGCGGTATTCCCCAAGGCTCAACATTAGAGCCTGTCTTATTCACCATCTAAATGCAAAGATTTCAATCAACAACAACAACAGATTTATCAGGCCTTTTGGCCTCAAATCTACTCTGCATACCTAAAACCAGAAACAAACATGAAGAAGCAGCCTTTCTTTCTTATGGTCCACAAACATGGACTAAATTCCCAGAAAATCTAAAAGAGTTGAATCCCTAATTCCTTTAAATTCCGATTAACATTCTTTTTTTCTTAGAGTTGGCTTTGACTGTTCTATCTAAAAACCATTTGTTTAAGTTTGTAGACTGACTTCCTGTCTTTTTTTTAATCAATTATTATATTCTCCTTTTTGGATCATCTTGCAGTGTACTTTTCTCTGGTTGTTTTCCTACTATGTACATTACTTTGAATTGTGTTGCTTCTGAAATGTGCGATATAAATGAACCTGTATTCTCTTGCCTTGCCTAGCTGATGTGGCTTGCCTATTTTACTAATTTATGCTGTTAAAAAGTCATTATTTTTATAATGTAGGCTTGGAAGCAAAAGCTAAATGTGCAACAAGTTTACAGGGAAAATAAGTAAAACAAAAAGTAAATAAAAGAAGATTAAAGTGCAGATTTACAATAGGAGACTCTGCTTTTAAAACAAGAGGCATTCAAATGTGTTCTCAGAAAAAAGACTCAGGGCTTTCTTGAATACAGGAACAAAAGTAGTGTTCTTTAAATTATTCACACAGGCCATCTGCTTTTACTTTTGAATATTTTTAGAATATGACCACAACAGACGCACGTCTTCTAGGTAGCTTGGTGAAAACTTTTCTATATCAGTGTGAGATATAGAGTTTACACAACCTTTTATTTCAAAAGATAAAGGTAAAATCATTTTGGCTAAAAAACAATTACAATTACATTTAACAAGCCTAATGAGATCAGAATCTTTAATAATATCTCTTTCTACAGTAAATGTTTAAAGTTCTAGTTCTTCAACCCTCTCAAAAACACTTTTCTTTTTTCAATTAAGCTCTTGATAGCCTTTGAAAAATTTTCTAATTTTTTCTTTGTTCTGCTGAACGTTCGAATGACAACCCAGTTTCAATTTATAGGCAATTTCCACCAGAAGAGATTTCCCCAGTAAAATCTTTCCCAGTGTCATCAGAAGACAAAGGTGTCCACAGCAGTACAGACACCTTTGCAATACTTAATTGATGTTTATTAGTATTTTCATCACTAGTTTCACACCACATCAAAGAAAAGCATAGCAACCTCACCGGTTTAAACTTTTGATGGCAGGAAGGCCCCTTTTTTTTGCTCACCAACCACTTGATATCTACATATCAACTAATGGTTGTTATGGAAACATTAGGATCCCAGAATATTAGTTTTTGTTATGGAGCTCTGGACATTTACTTTACCTCTCTTATAATTGTGCTCACTTGGCATGGTGGCATCTTATACATAGGTGCTTGTCCAGCCTTGTTACTAGAAGAAATGGGCCGCAGTGTCATTTCATATTTATAGTCCACAGAATGAGAAAGTCTTTGATTATTAATGAAACATCCCTATCCACTGTGATGATAATAAATAAATGAAAAAATCTATATATATATCTGTGAAATTATGCTGATACAATTGATTTTTACACATAGTCAGCAGATGCTTGATAAGAGTCAGTTTTAAAACCATGTGCTTGAAATTGGTGGCTAAATTTAATTATTAGAAAGCATATTTTTATCAAAGTTAACTATTAAATATTCAATGAAACCATGTTTTTATAAGATAGACACTAAGTATTTCTCTTTTTCTGCTCCTTGGATTTTTAAAGCAACAGTAGTGATTTTTGTAACTTTTAAATGATATGTTTGGTATATAAATTAACTAAATGTATTGAGGATGTTTAAGATAAGATCTTTAGAGGCCACAAACTCACATGTTCAGTTTACAATTTTTTTGCAAAGAAGTCATAAAACAATCATTTATTTTTGTTTAACTAGCTGTATAAACGTGTGCGGAGAGGTCTATAGATGTTGATATCAGCACCATGGACAACGCCAGTTTATAAATCTAATATAAAAGCACAACACAATGTAAATCCCCCGTTAAAATACTGTATGTTAGAACGAACCACAATTTGAACAGTTTTACTCACTTGTAAGAGACAGAATGAGAAACAGAAATAGAGGGTTAGGTGTCATTTCCTTCTCGCTTCCTTCCACTAACTTATCTTCCTGTTTTGGTCATCAAAGAGTTCTTTTTTATGACTAATATTCAATCTGTGAATCCCGTCGCGATGAAATGCCTCGCCTCGTGTTTTAGGGCAACTGTTCCGGTTTCAGATGCAGGAATATTTCTGAAAAAAAAAAAAAAAAATGTAGAGAAGCATGTTATAGTTGTTTATCTCAGACCGCCGCGGTCTCCACAGCAGATCCAGCCTGAGTCACAAAGCCGATCCAACTCAAACAGTCCGAGAAAGGATTTAGCTTGGTGTTTCTGCTCTCTTCGCAAAATAAAAGAAGAAAACTTAAATCTGTTTGACTTGACGCACCTTTCCTCAGCGGAAGTTGGCAGACCTCTTAATGAAGCTTAATGCGCTTCCACTGGATCTGTGGCGCGCAGCATGAGCGCGTTTCTGCCTCCACTGGCGATTCATCTGTTCTTAGAGCCAAACTCGCTGAAGCCACGAACACCTTGTTATGACACGCTGCAGTGCCAAAGGTGTTTACCTTTTTTTCTGCTGTAAAAATTTGAAATGTCCAATGCAAATTATAGATTTTCTTTCCTTTTTGTAAATTAAGAAAGACGTTTTAAAGTTTTTTTTAAAGGTTTAGAGATTAGTGTACAGTAGCGTTTCAAGAAAGGCTCAAATGGGGTAGGCAAATGGTGCCCACTCTTAATACCAAGATGATGGTACCCAAAATCCTACCATGAGATTATAATGGGGTAAAACAGAAACACATAACCAGAAAATCCTTCGAATTTAAAATCAAATCTAAGAAAAAACATTAAACGTTCTAAAGCTATTAAAGTTGTAATAACCACTTATAATCAGTTACTTTGCAATCCTTTTCATATTGTCTATCTAAATTTAGAAAAATGGGTACTGTGATGAACATTTTCACAGTAAACTTATTTCTAAAGGTTCTATCGACATGTAATTTCCACCACATGTTGGTACCAACCAAAGCATCCGATACATATACAGAAATCAAAACAAACAAGCTCTGCAATTAGGTCATGTACAGTGGCGGATTTAGGGGGCGGCTACTTGGAATCTCGCGATTGGGATCTCAAGCCCTGGATCTTGCTTCTGAGCTGATCTGAGTAAAATGTGCAGTACTGGAATTAACCAGTAGTGGCAGCATGAACTGGAAAGCAGCCTGTAGCATTCCTGTGCAGAAGAAGAAGTTGTCACCACTAGCTGTTTCTAAACAGACTGATGTCCCAAGTATGTGAAGCTCTGACTGACTCTGAGACGTTCTATGTCCCGGTTTTGTATGAAATTCTGTTTCCCTTGTGTCCGTTGCGCGCATTGAAGCCAGAGAGGCGGACATGGCGGGTGGGACCATTTTTACTGCGCTTCTGACTCGAAGGTCGAATAATCTGGCACCATTGGCTGGTATCCGGGTTAGTTAACAGAAGGAACAGTTGGATCTGATAAGAGATCATAAGCGCAGGGTGGAGCAAACCAGATAAGAGGAGAAGGAGTAAAACCCAGCCTATGGTGCCAATAGCATGACACTCAAGACCTTTGCAACGTAAAGGCCTGAACACACCAGTTGGGCATGACTTTAATCTCTTATACAATAATATATTTTATGAATATTTTGTAGGAATTAAAGTAACAGTACTAGACTGGTTTAAATCTTATCTATCTGATCGATTTCAGTTTGTTCACGTTAATAACAAATCTTCCTCATGCTCAAAGGTTACTTGTGGAGTACCACAGGGATCAGTGTTAGGACCAATTCTCTTTACTATATATATATGCTCCCAATCGGTGGAATTATTAGACAGCATGGGATTCATTTCCACTGTTATGCTGATGATACCCAGCTATATCTGTCTATAAATCCACATGAAGCTAGCCAATTACATACATAGATTACAGGCATGTGTTTAAGACATAAAAACCTGGATGACTCTTAACTTTCTGCTTCTTTTTTTGAGTTTTTTTTATGGCACTGGTGGCTTGTTTTTATGGACAATAGGCTGACAGGAAAGGGGGTATGAGAGAGGGGGAGTGAAATGCGGGAAAGGACACCAGGCCAGATTCAAACCAGAGTCACTGACGTCGAAGGCTAAGGAGCTCGCCCAACTTTCTCCTTCTGAATGCAGATAAAAGAGAAGTAATAGTCTTTGGACCACAGTCTTTGAAAAAGAGGTTGATTAGTCAGTCACTTCACATATTGCAACAATTTGAAATATCCTGTCCAGGGGTGATGCTGAGAAACTAGTCCATGCATTTGTTACTTCAAGGCTGGACTTCAGCTGATCCAAAATGCTGCAGCCAGAGTTCTGATGAAAATTAAAAATAGAGATCATATCTCTCCTATCCTAGCTTCTCTTCATTGTCTCCCTGCTAAATCAACAATAGAATTAAAAACTCCTCCTTTTCACATATAAAGCCTTAAATGGCCAAGCTCCATCTTATATCAGAGATATGATTGTTCCTTATGTTCCTAACAGAGCACTTCGCTCTCAATCTGCAGGTTTACTAATGGTTCCTAGAATTTCTAAAAGTAGAATGGGAGGCAGATCTTTTAGTTATCAGGCTCCTCTCCTGTGGAACCAACTACCAGTTTTAGTCCGTGAGGCAGACACCCTGTCTACTTTTAAGGCTAGGCTTAAAACTTTCCTTTTTGATAAAGCTTACAGTTACAGTGGCTCAGGTTATCCTGAGCTATCTCTATAGTTATGATGCTATAGGCTTAGACTTCTGGAGGACATAGTGTCCCCTATTTCATCATTCTGCTTCATTCCATCTCTATTCTCCCTCTCTGCAGAATCTGTTAGTTCAATCTCTAACGTTATACTCTCTCTGCTTATTCCTCAAAGTAGCTTTGCCTCGTCTGTTCCTGTTTGGCCGTGACACCATCCTGGAGAGAAATATCAGCTGTGCTGCTGCCATCAACACCCTTGTTTATAGATGTTGGAAATGGGCCTGTTTTTCCAGTGTAGTCCTGTTTCTCTGACTGTGACTGGCTGGAGTGGGAGTTTGCACGGAGCTCGTCTGCCTGGCTGTGTTTCCTGGAGGGGCCGCCTTTTACAGCTGCTTTTTGTATCTCTGCTTCTGTCTTCTTGAACCCCAGTCAGCCTCGGCAGATGGCCGCTCACACTGAGCCTGGTTCTGCTGGAGGTTTCTTCCTGTTAAAAGGGAGTTTTTCCTCTCCACTGTCGCTAGAAGCATGCTTAGTGTGAGGGATTGTATTTGAGTCAATGAGTCGATGCAATCAACTGGTTTTCCTTAGATAGAAAACTTTGAATCAATTTCACTGTATGATCCGGTGAACTGTAAAGTGCCTTGAGATGATGTGTTGTGAATTGCAGCTTCATAAATAAACTAAATTACATTGAATTTCCCATGTCACACTGACTGCGTATAGTGAGGCTACGACTTGGCAGGGTGGGCAGATGTGCGCATATTTTTTTTCACTTCTTACTCTGTGCTATGCAGAAATTAAAAATTACGACAGTTGACTTGGACAGATTATGAACAGTCATAAAAAAAATAAAAATAAAAAACACCAGCACATTCTACAAAGAAAAGCGAGTCTCTGCAGCATCTCAAACCAGAACAGATAATGTTCATGTGCCTATATTAGAAATCCAATGAATGAATTGCTGCATATTTCCCACTAAAATAGACCTGGGGTCTCAGTCAGACCTACGCAAGCCCCCTTGCATAAAATTGTGTCAGTTGTGATCATCTACATTGACTTCCAATGACTGCTAAATGCCACCACTTTGTCTCAAACTATTTTCTGTCGGATTGGACGTGAAATCTTTTTCGGTGTGTTCTGGCCTTGACATGGAAAAAAATCGGATGACAGATTAAAGAGGTCAGAACACGACAAATCCGATTTCACACCCGATCCGACAGAAAATTGTCTTAGATATTTTCATTTCAGCCATCTTTAGCATTTGTCCAATGCCTGAGACATTAGCCAAGTGCTTCATCCCTTTGGGCCAATCCTTCTTTTGTATTCTTGGAGCTTTGATATTTCATCTTCAATGGTGGCTCTGATGCTCACTAGGCCTCTGCTTCCTTGGATTGCGGTGGAATCCACCATGCATGGTAAGTCGCATTCGTGTTTTAACATCAGTGCTCTGAATCTACTGCATAGGCCATCATATTGGGTATTATGGTATCTTAGTACTGGTAAGTCATAGCTGGTGACTGCCTGGACCTTTTTCTTACCATGGAGCTGACTTCTCAGAACTTGTCTTACTCGTAACGGGCATTTGGCTATTGGTGCTTTCCTTATGGCCTCTTCATGGCCTTTCATATTCCAAGGCAGCTGTAGCCCTCCTTAAAACTACTATTCTCCCCTTTGGGAGTAAAAACCCCTGTATTGATTACCTTTAGTCGAGTCATAGACTTTCTTGTAACCAACTCATGCAGTGCATGGGGCACATACCTACTTATGGTAGTTTATGGTCAGACAGCTTGATGTAATTCATAGGTCATGGGTCTCCAACAGGAAAACATTGGACGAAATCTTATTGAACATCTTTGGAAGGATCTGAAAAATTGCTTCTGGAAAAGGCACCTTCAAACCTGAGACGACTGGAGCAGTTTGGTCATGAGGAGTGGACTTAAATACCTGTTGAGAGGAGTAGAAGTCTCATTGAAAGTTACAGGACTGTTATTGCAGCAATTGCCTCAAAAGGTTATTGAAGAAAATATGAAGATAGGGGTGCCATTAATTCATTGTAAAGCATTGTTGAAAAGCATTTTATATTATTGTTATATTCGACTGAAAACCATAGTGTGATTGAGACACTTTTGATAAATTTCTTCCTAGTTCCTTATTCTAAAGGAAACACACAATTTTCACATTCAGAGATTGGGAAACAGATGATTTACCTAAGTGATTTTATTGATGTACGTAGTTTGCCTGTGCATATATCCATCACAGCTGAGGCCATATAACCAGGGTTTACACGACCCAGTGGAGATTTCAATCTGCTTTAATGGAATATCGTGTATGCTTCAGTCAAGTTAACTGGCACAAGGTTACTACATTTCACTGCAGTTCACAACACTCACGCATCAACTCTTCCTCTCCATCATCACCTTTCACTCATCTGTGCACATTTTCAGGGAGAGAAATAAAGGAGCAGGGCAAGCCATGTTTGTAATTTAAGAGGCTATGGATTTGTTCAGAATCAATACACAACACAGGTAATTGATTAGAATAATAACCATCTATTTATATTTAGGCCCCGTCCACATGAAGTCAAAACGAACACGAAACGCTGATATTTTCCAAAACGTTTGCCGTAAAGGGGGAGACGTAAAATAAATGTGATCGTCCACACGAATGCATGAAAACGCTGCAAAATGTATGCCAGGCCTGTAAGTGGCGCTGTGGTGCCAAAGCAAAAATAAG